GCGTTGGTGGACGCTCTTCTAGACGATGACGGCTCGACTCTTGACGTGACGACGAGGGTTTTCCTGGAGTACCACTTGAGTCCTTTACACGACTGTGAACCCTTATCCGATGATGTCGAATGGAATCATTACCTGCTACTAAGCGTCTCCCGGGGGAGTGGTGGCTCGAGTCTTGATGCGAGGGGGAACGCGGCTCTGGATGATGGCGGCTCGAACCCTGACCCGAAGGCGAACGTCTTCCTGAAGAACAGCTTGATTCCTCTACATGGCGGTGAGCCATTTTCCGATGGTATTGACTAGAATCATTACCTGCTCGTGAAAGACTCCCGGGGGAACGGTGGCTTGAGTCCTGGTGCGACGGCGACCACTTTTCTGGTTGATGACGGCTCGAGCCCTGACCCGAAGGAGAGCTTCTTTCTGAAGAAGAACTTGAGTCCTAACGATGATCCCTTTTCTGATGAGGTCGACGCGAGTGCTTACCTGATCGAGACTTGGGACGATATGTAGGTCTTTTAGTCCATTCGTAAAGCTTCAACTTCAATTCTCTTTCCTTGCGCTTGAGGTATTCTTCTCTTTCCAGGAGGCCGTACTTTTCCATCTTTAGTTTGTTCATCTGATTTGGAGTGTTCGGCTGTCGTGCGGCCTTCCTTCTTTCTTCTTCGATCCTGTGTGAAAGTGAGAATATCTCATGCTTAAGTCTTGTCAACGACTTAGAAGTTTCTGCAATCTCCTTTCTGATTTTCTTATCGCCGCTTTCTTCTTCACGTGTCTTGCTTTCAGAATCTACACGATCTGCCTTTTCTGATGGCTTCTGAGGCTCGGAATTCTGATTCTTGTTTCCTTCATGATCCTCTCCGTCCTTGTACTCCTTCAGATCCTCCGGGCCTGCAGCTTGGGTGTGTGGATGGATTGCTGCAGCATCCTCATCCGCGATGGATTCATCGACTACGCATAGTTCATCGCTGGTTGAGCTACTCGAGTCTGATGTTGTCCTATTCAGCTGCGTCTGAATGTCCTTGAGGAGATTCACTATCTCAGGCAGAGTCTTCTGGTTACGCTCGATGCAGTCCAATCTCCTGCAGAGTTCATTTCGTACTTCTGCGATCTTGAGGTCCAGTGCGTGAAGTTCTAGTGCGGTTGTCCGAATATTGCTGATTTCATGTTCGATGTCGTCCGCGCGAATGACGAGTACTGTTTTCGCTGCTTCCACAGTTTCGTTCACGTTGCTGTTGATCTTCTCGAACTCCTCGGCCAGACTGGATCGAATAAGTTCTGCTGTTGGAGTCTCCATCTTGTTTTGTCCACTGGAATGCTGCTCGACGAACTGATGATGGTGACGAACGGCTTCTTCCAGCTTCTCGATTCTGTTCACGAGTTGTTGATAGTCGGCGCTACCATTAGCTGCTACCTCGCTGTCCTTCGTTTGAAGAGCTTCTTTTTGAGCAACACTATTGAAGAGTGCAGCGCCTGCTTTACAGAACTCCTTCCATGCAGAGGGTGGCGATGCAGAAACTTTTGATGGAGAGTCGGACATTCGACGGCACTTTGCTTCTTCCTGCAGCAGTGTTGATGCAGATGAAGTAGATGCGAAAGAAGTCGTTTCTGAGAGTGCTGAAAGTCGACGTTTCTTGGATTTACCTTCGAGAGCGGTTTTCGGAGGCTGGTCCTTAGTGTCGCCAGTCTTCGTAGGTGACAGGCTTTCCATGGGATTCGATCGACTCGTCGACAATGAACGTATTTCGTCGCTCGCTTTCGGCATGGCGTTAGACTCTGAAGTAGGTTGTTGGAGTATATAAACTTCGCAGCTACAACTACACAGGATAGGCGATAATTCTATGAAGCAAAGTTGAGCAATAGAGAACTACATCTGTTTTATGTGGCTCAAATTCCTAAAACACTGGTTTTGTGCACATCTTAAGCTACTACGGATAATCCATGCGATAGTCCAAAGAAGGATTTTAGTGATAGTCCAGACGATTCTGAAAATCAATTTGACTGATTCCAAGGCAATTTTTAGTCCACATGTCCATAGTAGGAAATAGCTGACCCCGACCACCACCAGGAGCGATGCTATTGCTAGAATGAAATGCCCAAATCCTGATGTAAGGGTGTCGAAAATGTGGGTGAAATCAGGCAACCAGACTTCGTCGGAGATGGAACTTTCTCCCTCGATGATGTTTCTGACTGATCCCTGAATTGTTCGAACCCAATTTAGAATGCCTGTGATTTCAAAATATGTCAACTCTTGCTCCACATGTGACGGAACAGTGTATTCGTATTCGAGCTTCTGTTCGACTGAACCGCATTTGTGTTCTCTCTCCTTGAGGACCGCAGGGGACCGTGAAGTAGTTCTCATCGCAGTTAACAACTGCCCTAGTGGGATCACTGCTACTACACGAAACTTCTGCAACAGCCCCTTGGGTGCACTGGTAACATCCGTAGACTACGGTGTTGGGTATTGTGCACAAAGTGTCCGACAGCTCTTTGATGGTAGTATTGACTTCACCTTTGAAGGTGAGAAGAATTTCAGCAGTGACGAGTGATGGTATCAAGGCGGCAACTGAGTTGTTGAATGTCGCTCTAAAGGTTATCCACGGTCGGCGGACAGGCAATCTTCTGTCAAGTTGGTCATGGAAGCCCGATGTGATATTCAGATCTTCACATACACAACGAATTCGGTTTTCCGCTGGTTGACAGATGCACCTGTCAAAGACATCGCAGTCGAGTTCACGTGCTTGTTGAATGGATTTGCACTGAAGAGTCACTTTTGAAGTTTCCTCCCACAGAGCTATTTCCGCCCCATTGGAGATGAAGTGACTTTGTAAATCTGGTGTTGGTGGTATTGTAACGGAACTGAGAGTAACCTTTAGAGGCCCGTGTTGTATGGGTACCGTAGGTTGAAGGAAAACTGTTGACTGCGTGTGTCTTCCGTCGCCATACTCCGAGCAAATGTCAATCTGTACGCTCTCTTTCCAAGTGGCGCACTGAAATATCTCATATACCTCTTCATCGACTGGAACGTGGTACAGGCGGTAAAAGAGGCAACCACTGCTCCAGTAAAAGCATCCGCATCCAGGGCCACCACAGCTTTCCACGCAATGAGTCGTACCAGGGTGTTGATTTGCTAGGTTGAGTTCAGGAATTAGAGAAGTGGTATTTACATTTTCGCATTTTTTTCCTGAACAACTACCTGAATGGGCACATCTTTTCGAATCAATGACTTTTTGCTTGGTGTTTCTAGTGTACATCAAGGTATTTTTCTCGCAGCGAAGATGAAGTCCTTTCCACAGGAATTTGTGCTGAACCAATACGGTACCGTTCGTGACGATCCTGAAGCATGCTTCCTGATTGAAAGTATTAAGTTTCAGGATGTCCATTACTTCGACCCAACATTTTCCTTTTTCTGGAAAAGACTGCGAACAAACGGTTGTCTTCATCGACATGATGTCTACGTCTTGGCAAGATTCTACGAACGGTAGCACTGCTGCAATGGCGATCGCTATCAGTGGGATCCGTAAAAACTTTGCAACTTCTTCGTCCCTATTTCTATGTCTCCTCCATCTACCGGGGAAACTTTTGACAATGTACTTGAAGAACTGTAGGATGAGACGAAGTCCAACCATGAGGAAGCGTGCCATCACTCTACATGGCTTCCCCAAGGTCAATGGTACGTAGCAAAGTGTGTAAGTTATGGCAATGAACACATATAAGACCGTCGTCCAGACCAAGAGAGCAGCCTTTGGATTGCATTCTGGATTGAACGCCGTAGCTGTACAAAACCAGCATTGCACATGCTCGCAAAAGGGAATCGCTGGGCAAACCGTTTCCACCACTTTGACCTTGGTTCCCTCGAGAACCTTCCACTGTACGGTGTGGGCATGTACTGTAATCTCTGGTGGGAAAGTTATGGTTTCATTTGGTGGCGGCTGTTTCCTGACAACACAATGGTCTTCTGAGCATACTTCATATTGTGATATGCTTCTGCTAACAATTTGCACCCCTCCTTTGACACAACGAAGAGAGTCTTCCATTGGCTCCTTAGAAGGAGTCGCAAGTGTGGTAGAAAGGGAGCAAAGTAACACAACCATTGTAATGAGCATCACATTGGGTAGGCTTCTCACGAGCTTAACCGTATGCTGTCCTTGCTGCCGTTCGCAGTAGTCTACTCGAGGTCTATTTCGTAGGTTGTAGCGTTTTTGTATTGCGCCGCCGTCGGTTTGCGTAGTGTCTTCTTCCGATTTTGTGGGAGCAGGAGGCTCTTGTGGCTCCTCCTGAATTTCTAGTGGCACCAGACGGTTGACAGGTCGTCTTAAAACATGTCCATTTGGGAGCTTAACTTCTGCCTCACGTATCGCTCCATCGCTGCCTGTTTTCAGGTTGGAGATGCGTCCCATTCTCCAGACATTTCGTGGTTGCTCCTCGTCGGCTAACAGCACAACTGTGTCTACCTTAGGCTCCGCTGTTCCTGAGCGTTTGTTGTTCATGTTACATCTATGTGCCTCTCGGAGACTGCTCAGATATTCTTTGTGCCATATTTCCCAGAACTTTTCGGTCATCTTGTGTGTGCTGACCAAAGCCTCGATTGTTTGCCTTCGCGTTCGTAACTGAAGTTGTTCCTCAGGTGGTAGGTAGGTAGGATCGTCTGCATCGTGTTTCAATGCCTCGAACGGACATGTGATCTCGATGTCATGAGTTATGAAATCAATGGGACGCAAGGGAATGACGTCGTCGTAGAGAGACCCTTGATAGGTTAACGGTCGACAGTTCAGACTTCCTTCAATTTCTACTAGGAAGGTTTCCAGTTCTTCTTCTGTCACAATTCGACTGCCAATGGTTTTGTAGAGAGAATGTTTGATTGATTTGATCAACCGTTCATAAAACGCTCCCTGCCACGGAGCGTAAGGTGTGATGGTGACCCACTCAATCCCTCTACGTGCCATCTTGTTCAGGAAACCTTCGTCGTTCGTGACTGAAAGGACTGCCTCTTTCAATATCTGGTCTCCTAGTAGAAATGAAGGTCCATTGTCTGACGTGATTGAGGCAGGAATTCCTCTTCTAGCGAAAAACCTCCGCAGTGCCATCATAAGCTTTTCCGTCGACAGATCTTGAGCCACCTCTATGTGAAGCAATCGAGTGGTCATGCAGGTGATGATAATACCGTACATCTTGTGATGTTCAGATCCCTGTTTGACGGTCAGCGGACCAAAGTAATCGATACCTACATTCTCGAAAGGCTTCGTTTTCACGACTCTTTTGAGTGGTAAAGGTCCCATCGTCGGATAAGGAAATGGAAGGTTATTAAGCTTCTGGCATGCAACACATTTTCGAAGAGCCGCTTGCACCTGCTGTCGAAGCTTCGGAATCCAATACCTTTCCCGTACCGTGGCTATGGTGTGAGACGTTCCTCGATGAAAAGGAAGGTGTGATTCTCTAACGATACAGGCCGCGAGTGGGGTTTTGGCTGCAATGAATAGTGGCCTTTTCGTGAGCTCTGGAATCTGCGCGTTGTTCATCCGTCCACAACAGTGGTAATAGACCGTGCTCATCTGGTTGTAAGTTGAGATTTTTGACCGATCTTCAGCAGTTGCTCTGTGATATGGCGATTCTGATGGTTTCTCACTATCACTAAGAGAGCAGCCTTTCTTTCTTCTGCACTAACATATCGTGTCTCGCGTTTGATGTTCAGACCTGGAATATTCGACCGTAGACGGGTAGACAATTGTGGAGAGAGTCTTGAGCACAGACGCCTAAGAAAGCGTAGTGCGAAGGCCACTGCGCCCTGTGCAGTGGAGAGGGAGTTGTGTCGTCCCCAATCTACGAGTTCGTCGCCTGTTTCGCTGTGTGGAGATTTCACCGAAAAAATATGATGTGCTGTTAAGTCCATTTCGGATTCTCCCTGGGTATCCTGTGGAAGGCTAAAATAACTGGTGTATTCTGGCCAGTCGTTCTCCTGGGTTGACAAGAATGGTGGTCCTTCCCACCATAGGGAGGCTTCGAATTCCTCCGCTAGCAAGCCTCTCGTCGCATAGTCCGCCGGGTTAGTGGAAGTACCAACATGACCGAATTGGACTGGCTTATCGAGATCTGCTACAATTTGTCGGATTTCCTGTACGCGGTTTCTGACTAGAACTCCGGCGTCTCTTGTGAGTTGGATACTTCGCAAGCCAGCTGAGAGCTATTTCCGAGTCGGTTAAGATCAGTATTTTTGATATATCGATCCTAGTCTTCACTGCCTTGTAGACTGAGCGTGCCATCCGTGCGGCCATAGTTACCGCGTTCATTTCCAATTTGGGTATCGTTGGGCTCTGCCGTGCGTTTGGCAATCTTGACTTCGCGAAGAGTAGGTGTGACCTGTATTCGGCTACAATATATGCGCATGCGGCCATTGCCTGGCGGCTTGCGTCCGCAAAAAGGACAAGTTTCGCGGTAGAGCCAAGAGCGACTGCCTGTCGAGCCATGACATGCTCAAATTTCATCACGTTTTCGCTAATTTGTGCCCATTCCTGCTCGTGCTCTATGGGAAGTTCTGTGTCCCACTCATATCCCAGTTTCCAGAGAGATTGAAGGAACAGCTTGCTTCTGAGCGTTAGGGGGGTTAGCCATCCTAGTGGATCGTACAAGGATGCAATTTGCTCAGAAACAATCCTTTTCGTTGTGGGCGACTTTTTTGCGAATCGTCCGTGAATTCGAATAGTGTCGGTCTCTGAATCCCACACAATTCCGAGAACCTTCGTCACACTTTGTGAACTTCTGTCGTGTGGCGCGATGGCTTCGTTGACGACGTGATTGTTCGTCTGGAAACCACGGAGGTTCATTTTCATATCCTGGAAAATAGCCTTTGCTTCTCGGTACTTGCGAATAGCCTCTTCTTGATGAGAAGCGCAAAGAACTACGTTGTCAACATATACGTTAGACTCGATTTCTTCCGCTAGCTCCTTTTGTTCCGTGGTCGTGTTCATGTGATGTTTAATTGTCCCTGCTAGAAGGAAGGGGGAACAATTGAGGCCGAAAGTGACGCGCGTGAATCGGTAATGGACTAAGTTGTCCCTGAGAGGGGGCTTCGTGATGTCTCGAACCCAGAGACAACGTGTTGCGTCTCGGTCTGCTGGGTGAAGACGAACTTGGAGAAAAGCTTTCTCCACATCGGCAATGATAGCGATATTACCGATTCGGAATCGGAGCAGCATATCGCATATCATTGGTAGAAATGTGGGTCCTTGGTAGAGAACGTCATTCAGAGATGGCTGGCCCCTTAAGTGAGCTGAAGCATCGAATACTACCCTCAGCTTGGTGAATTCCTTATTGGGTGTGATCACAGCTTGGTGGCTGAGGTAGTGGATAACGCCTTCTTCCGGTTGACTTGGATCTATTTCTTCGATAATCCCCTTTTCAATCTGATCCACGAAGGTTTGATTGTATTGCTCCAAGATGTCGGGGGTGGTCTGAAGTTTGTCCAGAATTGCGCAAAGTCGTCGGTAGGCTATGCTCTTGTTATCGGGTAGCGTCTTAGCCTCTTCCTTCCATGGCAATCTCACGCAATACCCATCGTCGTTACGTTCGATAGTGGCCTCAAAGTCTTCCCAGACTGCCTTGTTAATAAGGTCCTGTTCTTGGTCTTTGGTGCCGGGGAATTCCTCGATTCCTGTCGATTCAAGGGTTAAGAACTTTTCCCAGTTCTGATGCTTTTCTTCGTCAGACGTAACAACGGAATCGATGGAACTCATTCCTTCATCCGTATTTTTTGGAATTTGCCCGGTAATCAGATATCCCAGAAGTGACGGGATCACCTTCAATCCAGAAGGCAAGGTATGCTGTGCCTGTCTGCAAGAGTCCATCAGCGCGAAGGTATCACTGCATCCAAGCAGAACCTGTGGCTGAACATCCTGAACATGAGGCTTTATTGACAATTCGATGTCATTTTCAACGAGGTAACGCTTGTCGGCGTCACTAAGTTGGTGCCTCTGAAGGGGTTCTGTGAGGTGCTCAATCCGAGCGACCGAAAACACGTGTGCCATACCCATACAATCTTAGACTTCAAGGTTCGTGACTCCGCACGTTTTTTCCATTGTACGTTGGGTACCAAACGTGTTGATTTTCAGAGTCAAGGAAGTGAAATCCTTGAGATCTAGCTTGACAGCCAGGTCTTCGCTTATGAAGGAACGGTCAGCCCCCGTATCCAACAGAATGTAAACCTTCTCCAAGGTATTTTGACGAGGATTGAGGACGAGAGCTTTCCCTACAAGCACGACGCTTTTTATGTCCTCGCCAGCAGCAGTGTTCTTCATACACAATGCGGTTTCAGCGTTCAGCGTACTTTGCTCCATTGGTGTAGAAGAAACGGTATGCTGCTTGGCTTTTGATGTCCGAGGCACTGGTGTGCGTTTCGCCTTCACAGGGCTCATTTTTCCCTGTGGCTTTCCCGAAGTTGGACCATGAAGCTTGCTGCAGATTGAGGTATGGTGCCCTATAACGCCACAAATTCTGCAGGCTCCTCCTGTGCAACTAGAAGCGTAGTGGTCTGTGCTACCGCAATTCTTGCACAGCGATAACTTTCTCATCTGTTCGATTCTCTGTTCGCGAGTTTGGAACTCTGGGCAGTTCTTTGGTGTATGACCCCTCTTTCCGCAGAAGAAGCATGGAAGGCGATCGTTTTCTCTTCAGCGGTTGAGTCACTCCCGACCGAGATGAAGCTCCTGATAAACGAGCATCTTCTGTCAGTATCGATTCAGGTCGTATCTTCTATATGTCGACGAATGTCCAATTCCGTTCGAATGTAACTGTCGACATTCTCAAGGAGCAACTTTGTGTTCCATGTTTCTTCTGCCTTCAGATCTCTGTTTCTTGCGGAGGATATGTCGTTGGATCGCTTCGGTAAATTTTGAGAGGACTTGTTGTTGAAGCAGGGCTCCATCGACAGGCTCTCCCTTCAACTGCAGCTGGTTCACAATAGACGAGATTTCTTCATACAGTCTCCTCTGATCTTCCATCTTTTTACTCTTTGCCCTCGTCTTTTCCAGTCTCTTCACGAGTTGAGTGATCAGAAGCCGCGTGTTACCGTATTTTGACTTCAAGTATTCTATGGCTGCTTGGTAAGTCTGTCCACTGATCTCGAACTTCTTCAGAGAATCTAAAGCTTCTCCCCTCATTGCATCCATCAGATAATTCATCTTATAAACGTCATCCATGTTTCTGGTGTGAATCGAGTATTCAAAGGTACTCCAGAACGATTCCCACTCCCAAGCTTTTCCACTAAACTTAGGGATAGGAACAGGTGCAAGTTTAACTCGTGGAGTATCCTGAGTGCTTGATGACGTTCCTTCCAATAAGGCTGCAAACTCTTCCCGTTGTTCCATTATTCTGAAGGTCAAGGAGAAAGCCTGTCCAATCAGTTCCTCTGCCTTGGCTGCATTGGTTTCCACCTTTGCCAGTATATCCGTTAATTGCGGAGTTTCTGGGGGAAGTCTGTCGGCTTCCATGGTATAGGCTTGGAGAGCGTTTTCCACGTTCTTAGTTTCCATTTCCATGAGCTTGCTCGCTTTCCTTAGTCGTACTTCTTCGCTCCGCAAGCATGCCC